CACTGGGACGTCATCCCCGTCTCCTACCCCTCGGACCCGAGCGAGCCCCCCATACATCACCTCTACGTGTCCCCTCCCGGTACAGAGGTCGCGACTTCGTCATGGTTCAACACCCCTGCGACTCACTCGATGCCGGACGTTGCACATCCCTCCCTCTCCGAGACCGCAAGCGTCAAGAGCGGCAAGAGCAACAAGAGCGCGTTCAGCCGGTTCAGCTTCATGTCCACTGCCGCGACAGCGAAGACGACGCCAGCGACCTCCCCCGAGCCTGTCGAGGGTAATATTGAGGCAGGCCTGTCTAGCCTCAGCCTCGCGAACGACCGCGCCTCGGGCGCAGCGGACCTCCTGGAGACGGACGAAACGGCTGCGGACAAGCCGCGCATCCGCATCGCCTTCCTCACGGAGCAGGTCTCGCACCACCCCCCCATATCCGCGTTCCACGCGTCATGCCCCAGCCGCCACCTGGAGCTCGCGGGCGTAGACCAGATCTCCGCCAAGGTCTCTGGGACGACCTTGCGCGTCATGCCGGGTACCTTCAACAAGGGCATTTACGTCCGCATTACGGGCGAGCCCGGGGAGGGCGAGATATACCACATCACGCATCCCGTTGCATCGGTGAATGGGCTGCTCCGTGGTAGCTTTTACGTTACCGTTGGGGAGACGACGATCATCACCTGCTCCGGAGGCAAGGACGGGCAGAAATTGCGCGCGATCATCGAGTACAAGGAGGAGTCGTGGCTCGGACGCGCGCAGTTCCTGTGTGAGGGCATCATCCACACCTACGACCCCAAGGAGACGGTACACGAGGAGTGGACGCGCATCAAGCACGTTCCGCGCGAGCGTGTGCTCGCGGTCTTTGACGGTTCCTGGCGGGATCGCGTCCGCTGGAAACGTGTGGACGCGCCGGACACCGAGTACGCGACACTGCTGGACCTGTCGACGCTGCACGTGATCCCGAAGACGGTGCGGCCGCTGGAGAAGCAGCTGCCGACAGAGAGCAGGAAGCTGTGGGAGAATGTGACGACGAAGCTGATATCGAAGGAGTACAGCGAGGCGACGAAGCATAAGCTCGTTATCGAGCAGAAGCAGAGAGACGAGGCGGCCGAGCGCAAGCGCAAAGGAATCAAGTGAGTGAACGCCTATACTTTACTCGACTGGTAGCTTACCGCGCACACAGCTTTGTGCCACGGTACTTTGACCCCGACCTTTCGTCCGGTCTGCCAGAGCTCACTGAAGAAGGCCGAAAGGCGATCGAGGAGGAGCTTAAGGAGCCTGCTGACCACAAGCTAGAGGACGAGAGCGGGTCGACGTCCACCCCGAGTTCGAGCTCCACCGCATGAACATCACGATTTACTTACACGTCCCATCTGTACAATACATATACCACTGACCGCCTCTTCGCCGCATCTCGCACGGACGTGTCTGCACCGTTGTACGAACCGCAACGAAGGTAGCTAATGATCTAGAATCATCACATATATAGGTAGCAGCATGTCCACGTCTGTATATACATCACAATATGCTTTCTTGAGTCGCGAATGCGGCCTCGCCGCAGTAGACGCGATTATACATATGTTCGCGAAATCGGAAAATGTATGCCCATGCAGGCTCGGGTAGATCTGGTGAGCGCCTCGATCGCGTCGACCGCCCAGTCGCGGACGCGTTTGTGTGTCGCGTCACTGCCTCTGACGCGACGACTCCTCTGCCGTTTCTGCATCGACGACGTGCGAATGCTCGCCTCGAGGGCCGTCGTCCGGCGGGTTCCTCGAGCTCGAGGAGCGCGAGCAGTTCTATCGCAGCATCTGATAACATCTCCGCACTCCAAAACGGTCGAGTCAATCTGCAAAAGCGCCGAGTGCAGCAGCCACACCCACCGTCCTCCGTCTCCTTATCCTCCCCTCCGTCCAGCTGCTCGTGCTCTCCACTCTCCTGCCACCATGGCTTCACTGGACGCTGTCGTGCAGGCTCTCTCGAAGCTGTCTATCTCTCCCGCCGCTACCGTCTCCCATGCGCGCACAAACTCCCCCCAGACTTGGCGCGAAGCCCTCGAGGCTAGCTCCTCCGCCCCAAAGCCCTTTGAGCTGACCAAGACGCTTGTGTACAAGCCCAAGACCGCGAAGACTGCGACGCCTGTACCCGTGTTCGTGATCGCGCGAGAAACGTCGGACGTGCCCTCCGGCGCGCTGGGCAAGGTCCTGAACCTGAAGGACCTCCGTCTCGCATCCGAAGATCTGCTGAAGGAGTTCTTCGCGCTTGACAAAAACTCCCGTGAGTCGTATTTTTGTTACTATACTGTATGCGCAAGCGGAGGGAAGACTTTGGCATGTTTGCGATGTATCCCTATTCCCTCGGGAGAAGAGCCTGTATAAATCGAGAAACCGTGCTAAACAACTTGTCTATCCAGTCTCCCCTCTCGCCATCAACTCGGAATCGTATTCCAAACTCACGGTCGTGATCGACTCCGCGATCGCCACCTCGACCTCAACATTCGCCGTCCGCGGCCTCTCCTCCGACTCCACCGTCTTCCTGTCCGGCAAGGACCTTGCCGCATATGTGAAGCAGTTCGCGGTCGAAGGCGCCCCCAAACTCCATGAGATCGACATCTCCACTGTACAAACCGCTGCAGAGGAGGCCGTTGCAGCAAAACCTGCCCCCGCAGGTAAGCAGGACGCGAAGATCGAGGGTGCCATCCAAATCGCTATCGGTGTCAAGAAGGAGGTCGACTTCCCGACATGGTACACGAACGTGCTCATCAAGGCGGACATGCTCGACTACTACAACGTTAGCGGTTGTTACATTCTCCGGCCCTGGTCATACAGCATCTGGGAAATCATCCAAGGTATGCAACTCGATCGATTCTCACGTTCAGAATCTTGACTGAGGTGTTACGCAGAATGGTTCAACGGCCACATCAAGGAGATGGGCGTGCAAAATTCGTACTTCCCCATGTTTGTGTCGTCGAAGGTGCTGGAGCGGGAGAAGGATCACGTTGAGGGTTTCTCTCCGGAAGTTGCATGGGTCACTCGGGCGTATGTATATACCCATCTGGTGGATGAAATGCGTGCTCACGTGCTTGCAGAGGTACCTCAGACCTCGAGGAGCCCATCGCCATTCGCCCGACCTCCGAAACCGTTATGTACCCTTGTACGTCTCCATCGCACGACTTGCCTAAGTATTGCTGAATTTCTTCCGTAGACTACGCCAAGTGGATCCAGAGTCATCGTGACCTCCCCCTGAAGCTGAACCAGTGGAATAGCGTCGTCCGGTGGGAGTTCAAGAACCCCCGTAAGTACTCGCCACATGCTAGTGTCACCTATATTTACTCTGTTCCCAGAGCCCTTCCTCCGTACGCGCGAGTTCCTCTGGCAGGAGGGCCACACGGCACATCTCACGAAACCCGAGGCTGACAAGGAGGTGCTCGAGATCCTCGATCTCTACCGCCGCGTCTACGAGGAGCTCCTCGCCGTGCCCGTTATCCCCGGTGTCAAGTCTGAGAAGGAGAAGTTTGCTGGTGGTCTCTACACCACGACCGTCGAGGGCTTCGTGCCGACGACAGGCCGCGGCATCCAGGGCGCGACGTCGCACTGTCTGGGCCAGAACTTCTCCCGCCCGGAGATGTTCAACATCGTCGTCGAGGACCCGAACGACACGACCGGCCAGGGCAAGACATACGTCTGGCAGAACTCGTGGGGTCTCTCGACGCGCACGATCGGTGTCATGGTCATGATCCACGGTGACAACCAGGGTCTTGTGCTCCCGCCCCGCGTCGCCTCCATCCAAGTTGTCGTCGTCCCCTGTGGTATCACGGCGAAGTCGACCGACGAGCAGCGCAAGGCTGTCAACGACGCCGCCGACGAGCTCGCACATAAGCTCAAGAAGGCTGGCCTCCGCGCACGTGCTGACCTCCGTGAGGGCTACACCCCCGGATTCAAGTTCAACGACTGGGAGCAGAAGGTAAATTTCATCCAGAACCTGCAATTTCTTTTGACTGATCACGCTCTGGCCAGGGTGTCCCGCTGCGCCTCGAGGTTGGGCCTGCCGACATTGCGAAGAAGCAGACTCTCAGCGCACGGCGCGACACTGGCGCCAAGGTGCCCCTCCCGCTCACGGACATCGAGACTGCCGTGCCCGCGCTACTCGACCAGATCCAGGCGGACATGTTCAAGCGCGCGCAAGAGGTGTACTTCTCGCGCCTGCACGAGGTGCACGAGTGGAAGGACGTCGTGCCGACGCTCGACGACAAGAACGTCGTCGTCATCCCCTGGTGCGAGGCGGAGGCGTGCGAGGACGACATCAAGACGCGCAGCGCGAACGAGTGAGTCTCATTTCTCCGTGCCTGCTGGGTTGTCGTTGCGCATGGGGCTAACACGGCGTACCAGGTCCGAGCCGACGGACGAGCGCGCTCCTTCTGCGGGCGCGAAGTCGCTCTGCATTCCCTTCGACCAGTCCCGCTGGCCCAAGATCGAGCCCGGCGTCACCAAGTGCGTCGGGTGCGGCAAGGACGCGAAGCGCTGGACCCTATTCGGTCGTTCGTACTAGTCGGTGTCATAGGGACACCGCGTGTTTCGACCTTGGGGCTCGTGTGTTACTCGGGGAATGTAAAGAGCAGCAAGCAGATTTTTGACATGTAATTTTTGGGCAACAGCACTGAGTACTTGATGCGTGTCTGCATCATCGGCGTTAAAATGGTCAATCGGCGTGCAGCACCAATGAGTAGAACGTATATACAGCACGGTGAACATATTATTGCTTAGCTGAGCCTGCTGAGGGCTTCGTTACACGTAGGGGCCCAACGTTTTATAGTGCACGGCGCTTAACCGTTGGGAGCACCCATCGCGGCTGTACGTCGCTTCACGTCGCTTCGAGCTCCCAACCTTGGGCTCCGCTGGTATATCACTGCGGAATACCATCTCAAAAGGAGTGTAAACGCGCTCTGATGCAGCGGTCATTATTTCGTATCGTTCGTTAGCGTATTAGCTCCCAAAAAGGCAATTAAAAAGTGGTTCGACCCGGGTTCGAACCGGAGACCTCCTGTGATCACTGAACAGATAGATGTTCAAGCTCGTGTGAGACAGACGTGATAACCAACTACACCATCGAACCATATCTCTTGCATGGGGCGCTCCTTCTCGTCGGACCGCCTCCGCCACCGACGCGCCCTCCGAGTCGCTCATGCATGCCGTTGAGGTTGCTACTCTTCCTCCGTCATCTAACTTTCTCCCCCAGGTATCTGGTGTACAGTAACGCCACACTTTACCATTCACGCATGTGGTGTCCCTGACCCTCCTTGTGCGCTCGAGACGCCTCACAAGGTCACGCCAGCATGGGAATCAGTATTGCGTACGGTCTTCAACGTCTATGTGACATGACCATTCAAAGCTAAATTGTGGTGATAGTATGGTGTGCGATTTCTTCTATCCAGGAGTAGGCGGAGTGGAAAACCACATATACATGCTCAGCGCAAACCTGCTCCGACGTGGTCATAAGGCAAGAGTGTGGCAACCCCAATTTGAACAGACCATAGTACTAACGCTTCAAGTTGTACAGGTGATTGTAATAACGCATAGCCATTCACCAGACCGTGTCGGCATCAGATGGCTGCTTCCTTCGCTGAAGGTGTACTACATCCCATTCCCGACCATTGCGTCGTCGGCGACACTCCCGAACTACTTCACTTTCTTGCCGTACTTCCGGACTATCATACTCCGGGAGGGGATACAGTTGATACACGGACACGCAGGCTTATCCTCGCTAGCGCAGGAGGCGATCCTGCATGCTCACCATATGGGTGTGCGGACGGTCTTTACGGACCACAGTTTGTTTGGGTTTGATGACGCCGCTAGCATCCTCACAAACAAGTTGCTGGAAGGCGCACTACGGAACGTCGATGCTGCCATATGTGTTTCACACACCGGGTAGGGCAAGTCGTGCTATGCACACGTGCTAGATGCTGATGCTCTAGTCAAATAGGCGTGAAAACACCGTGTTGAGGTCAAGGTTGCCCCCAGAACATGTATATGTCATACCCAACGCCATCATAGCCGATCAGTTCAAACCATCATCTACGCCCCCCTCGACCGATCCTAGTAAGCTGGAGACAACAACAGTGTACTAAAAGTGCTAATTCTGAGCGCGGTACCCTCCAGTTACTATTGTGGTCATATCACGCCTTGCCTACCGGAAAGGAGTCGACCTGTTGGTGGCCACGGCACCTCGAATATGCGCGCTCTTCCCAAACGTCCGCTTTCTGATCGGTACGTGTCTCCAGATAGAAAGGCGTGTCATAGAACTGAAGCCCTGTGCGCTTAGGGGGGGACGGCCCTAAGATGATAGACCTCCTGCAGATGCGAGAAAAGTACCTTCTCCAAGATCGTATCGAAATGCTAGGTCTAGTTCGTCAAAACGATGTTCGCGACGTAAGGCCCTTTGTTGTGATGTCGTCTTCACCGACTGATATCGTTACTCTTAGGTTCTCGTCAAAGGTTCTATATTCATGACCACCTCTCTCACTGAGTCGTTCGGCATCGCAACCCTAGAGGCTGCCTGCGCAGGACTCTACGTGGTGTCCACTCGTGTTGGCGGGTTGCCAGAGATTCTCCCAGAAGACGTGATCTCTTTTGCCAATCCAGACGAAGATGGTGCGTGCTTCGTCACTATGTCATGCTACCATTGCGCTTATACCCCATTCGCTCTGTACAGACGTGGTTCGCGCGATGTCGGAAGCAATCGCGCTAGTAGCGGCCGGAAAGCACGACCGATTCCGTGCCCAGGCATGGATGAAGGGCTACGACTGGAAGGAGATCACACAAAGAACGGAAACGGTATATGAAGCTGTTCTGAGCTCTACCCCATGCGACTTCTGGACGCGTTTGCATCGGTACGTTCCCTTCCTGTGTTCGGCAGGCACCCTTCCCAATCTAGTTTTAGCACTCTCGACTTGGGCCGCTTCGCAGGCATTATCTTCGCCATCATCTTGCTCGTCGACTGCCTCTTTTTCATGTTCCTTGAGTGGTACCTACCCGAGGACAAGTTGGATAAAGTCGAGATGCATTGGGAGCACGAGAATTTCGAGGAGGTAAGTACGTGTCCGCAATGTCTACATCTGCTACTGACATGATTTTTCTACAGGCTGTGAGAGAATTTGAGGCTGGGAAAGCATCATGACCTCAATGAGGACCTGTCTACCGCTCACAGAAGGCCGGGAGACAGAACGTCGCCACCTCACGTCCACTATATCATATATCCATGTAGGCGCGTCCACTTCGGTGACACAGTACTCTTCTATCAAGAAGGCGACATCTACACTTGTGCGCCATTTTTCAACGTACAACCTTCACTCTCGGACGCTTGCTCACTATTTTGTACACTGCGGAGGCGCTTCATTGGACCGTACGCTGCCAAGTACTCCAGCATCATTTGGACCTTGAAGGAAGCTCCAGGAAAGTGCCATGCGCTCCCCTTCTCACCTTTCCCTCCATTTTGTATTACCTGTGTATGCCTACCTCAAGGACGAAACCGCAATTTGATATATCACCGCAGGTTGCACGAAAATCTGACTTCGCCGCGCAGTCTAGTCGTCCGGTGGTCGGACCGTCTCCCCGATCGGAAAAACCAAAGTTGATTTGAGGATCCATCAGCACTTCTTGACGGTCCACCTTTTACTTCCTCCCACCATTGAGGCAAGTATGGGCTCGTACGAGGACGAAAAGGCCGGCAGCGACGCCTCTCAAGATGTCGTTCCTCCGACTCGCCGGCAGCAGTGGTTTGCGTCCACCTCCGAATTTCTCACCCATTGGGGGATCGAGACGAACGGGTACGTACTTTCGTTTACCGGTGGCTTATCTGTTCATTATTTGACCTTCATTCCAATAGCATAAACCCAATTCTGCCGGAAGACAGGACGGACACAAAGCTCTACCAGATGTTTTTCGTGTGGTTCTCTGCGAACATAAACATCCTAACGTACGTGATGACTCCACAGGCGCTTTATAATGACCCGTCCGTTTATCTCCACTAGATTTGGAACAGGCTCAGCGGGGCCTGCTTTCTTTGGCCTCGGCCTGAGAGACTCATTTATCATCCTCGTTATAGTGGACCTCATGTGCGTGCTCTCAGGCCGCGGCATCGCTGAAACGGTTCTCAGATACTTCGCAGCTCCTGCATAGTGCCAGCTTATTTGTAAGATCGCAGGCGTAGAGCCCTGGGAGGCGCATGACTAATATTTGCTTCTACGCCAGCGCCGTCTTCGGGCCCAAGCTAGGTATGCGCTCGATGGTGCTCGCGCGCTACTCATGGGGGTAGGTGAAACTCGGCTCAAAGTTTAGCCCTATTGAGGGCTGCTGAGCTGATGGCGTGTGTGGCAGCTACTTCGGCTCTATCCTCCCTAGCGCGTTCACGGTGTTCTCGATGCAGGGCTTCATGATCCTGAACTGCATTATCGGTGGTCAGACGCTCGCGAGTGTTTCCTCTCACCTGGATGATACGCTGGGAATTGTAATCATTGGCGTTCTGTCACTCATCGTACGTCTCGAGGAGATGCTATTCAGACTAATAGCTGCAGCATGCTAACCAATGCATGCTCTAGGTCACCTTCTTTGGATATCGCGTTATCCATTGGTAGGTTACTCCAAGCAACTAGGTAAACCATGCTTATTTGACCTATTTTTCAGGTACGAGACGGTAGCATGGATACCGAGCGTCATTACCTTCATTGTGATGCTCGGACTCGGCGGTACGCACCTCACAGAGGCCCCGACACCTCCACCACCATCGGCAGCCGCAGTTTTGTCCTTCGCTACCACCACGGCGTCCAGTGTAATCAGTTGGTGTATGATGACACCCGACTACGGTGTATACCATACCAGCAAGGCATCGAGGTGGGGCCGTCAACGCTGCTGCCGTCGGTACTTCCATGCTGACATCCTACAGCACACGAATCTTCCTGTACAGCTACGCCGGATTTTTCATCGCCAGCGTAAGCATGCATTTCAACCTCGCGTTCTTGGGGATAAACCGAACTTGCCGAACAGCTGGCGGCACACATGCTCGGCGCCGCCTTCGCTGCCGCTGCCCCGGGCGTGCCCTCCTGGGAAGCGGGTTTCGAGCAGGGTAACAACGTCGGCGGGCTCATCCAGGCCGTTCTCTCTCCCTCTGGCGGGTTTGGCAAATTCCTGACCGTGCTGCTCGCGCTGTCGATTCCGAGCGCGTGCGCGCCCACGATGTACACGTTCGCGTCCAGCTTCATGACGATCCATGCGTGGTTCGCTCGGGTGCCGCGATACGTTTACACCTTCATCTCCGAGGCTATGTGCGTCCTTCGTAGTCTCTCAAGAATTCCGCCATGCTAACTCATGAAGCAGCCTGATTCCTGTGGCGATCGTTGGGGCGAAGCACTTCTACACTACATTCGTGGACGTCCTCAGTGAGAAGTGCACTTACCTCCTTGCTAACGGCGATGCTGACTACCTCAGGTGTCATCGGATACTGGAGCACCGTGTTCGCGGCAATCGTCATCGTCGAACATCTCATGTTCCGCAAGAACGACTGGGAGCGGTACGACCTCTCGCAGTACTGCCACCCAAAACAACTCCCCCTGGGCATCGCCGCAACCCTCGCCTTCCTCTGCGCATGCGGCATCATCATCCCCAGCATGTCGCAGGCGTGGTACGTGGGGCCGATCGCGAACGCGGGAACGGGCGACATCGGCATCATTGTCGGGTTCGTGCTCGCGTGCATGGTGTACCCTGCGTTCAGGGTTATAGAGCTCGCGGTGTCCAAGAGGTAAAGATGGAAGATGTATTACAAAGGGTCAGAGTTTGTATTTTCTGGGTTTCGCGGCGGCAGACGCTTGTATGGCGACTAGCCGTGGGGGTAGCAAGTGGGTGTATGCGTGCGTTATCCACTGTAAACCGGGGTCAGTGCTGTCTAGGTGGGTGTCGCGGTGTCTGGTTCTCACCTCGCAAGCGAGCGGTCGTGTATTGCGCGGGTCGATGATCTCTTCGATGCCGAAGTTACCAGCCGTCCGGAGCGGGTCCCGCACGTCCTCAAACTGGACGAGGAGGTCCCTCACCATCTTGTCACGAGCGGCCGGCGTCGGGGCGCTG